CCCCCTGCTTCATTCACTCTCTCCCGATACTTCCTCATGGCTCCTGTCTTTTCAAAACTTTGCGCCACACCTCCTGAATCATGGGCCCTGCCATCCCCCTGCCTCCTCCTGTCTCTTCCTGCCTCATGTGACTGTCGGGCTCCCCCGAAGTCATGCTTCGGGCCGCCATGGGAGGCGCTAGGGCCAAAGTCCCAAGTAAAAGTCCCTGGCTTTCCAAAAATTCCCTATGGACCTGACCAAAACATCGAATGTCTTGTTTCAAGACAAAATAATATTTGGTCAGAACCCGCGGGATTTTTGTGGGGTAAACCTTGGGATTCTGAACGTCCCGGGTTTACCAAACATTCTGGGCCACTCTGGGCCACTTGCGAGCCCTGTGGCCCTCCGGTGGACCTCTGGTGCGCTTGCGACCCTGGTGGACCTCTAGTGAACCTCTGGTGGACCTGGGGGAAAAACTCGAAGTAGGGAGAAAGATACTGTAGATTACGAGGTGGAGAAGTGATGAGGATGAGGAGGATAAGGAACAGACAGTAGGAGGAAAGGAGTGAAAGGGAGTGACGAGAGAGGAAGAGACGGAGGAGAGTCAAGGGGCAGGAAGAGAGATGACGAGTGAGGAGGAGAGATAAGAGAAGACTAGAGAAAACGAGGAGGAGGAAGCAGGGGAGAGAAGGAAGGAGGATGCGGAATGAGGATGACGAGCGAGGATGAGCAAAGGGGGTAAACGGGAGCGAAAAGGAGGAGCAAGCACGAAGAGGAGGTGGAGGAGTGAGGAGGGGTGAGGAGTGCGGAGGAGAAGTGTGGGAATAGGGATTAGACTGAAGATGAGGAGCGGGATGAGGAGGGAGCAGGGCGGAGGATGGACGAATATGAAGAGCAGGGGTAGGACGAGGAGGAAAGGCGGTGCAAAGAGGAGGGGGAGTTGACGACAGCGACGACGACGGCGGCGGCGGCAACGACAACGACGATGACGAAACAGAGGTCTCGAGAGGCCTACGGAGGCCAGACAAAAAAACTGATAACCTCCATAATCCAGAATTCTCTAGCCTCTCTCCTTCTCCTCCTCCTCCACTTCACTCTTCATTCTTCCCCCTCCTCTCGCTCCTCCTCACTTGGGCCCCACCGCCAGCCCAAACGGCGAGCATATTTCTGGCGCAGCCCCGTAGAAGCTGTGAGGGACAACCTCTCTGGGTCATGCAGTGCGCAATATATCGCGCCATCCATGGTTTGCACCATAACCATGGGTTGCGCTATGAGTAGAGTCATCTGTGGGTTGCGGCAGTGGTGCGCCATCCATGGGTTGCCCCATTGGCTGCGCCATTCGTTTCGGCATTGACGGGTTGCGCCGTAGGTTGCGCCATAAGCTGCGCGTTCGGCGGCCGAAACTAAAACCCTGGTGATACGCTATCGACTATAGGTTGCGCGCACGGCGGCCGAAACTAAAACTACATGAAAGAGCTTGCGCCATTGGCCATAGGTTGCGGCGCGCTTGGCGGCCGAAAACCAAATTGTTGTTTGTGCTCTAGATTGTGTAACCGTGCAGACAAAACTATTACGTCTTGCTTTCGGCTGCGCCATACGTTGCGCACTCGGCGGTCGAAACTAAAGCGGCCTGCTATCGGTCGCGCCTTAGGTTGCGCGCTCGGCGGCCGAAACAAGAGGCATGGCATTGGTTTCGTGGTTGCGTCATGCGTCGCGCGCTCTGCAGCCGAAGCGAAAAAAGGGCATGGTACTGCCAGCGGTAGACGTTGCGCACTAGATTGCCGAACCAAAAACGGCCTGCTTTGGGTTGCGCCACGAGTTGCGAGATTGGCGGCACAAGCTAAAACAACCAGCCAATGGCTGCGCCATAGGATGCACACCCGTCGACCGAAACTAAAAAGGCATGCTATTGGTTGCTCCATGACTGGGCGCTTAGCGGGCGAAACTAACACTGTCTGCTATTGGCTGCACCAATGGATTCGCTCGCTGGGCGGCCAAACTGAAACTGCCTGGCATTGGGTGCGCATACAGGTTGCCCCCCCTGGGTGACCAGGATTGAAACGGACTGCTTCTGGTTGCGTACACGGTTGCACGCTCTGCGGCCGAAACTAATTAAGACAAAAAACAACAACAAAAACTGCTGCGGGCTGCGCCAAACACTGCGCGCCCAGCGGCCGAACCAAACACGGCCTGGTGGCGCTTGCTCCGACGTCCGACGTTTGCGCACTGGGCGAGCGAACGCGGATATAAACATGAAATGAAGCGGGTGCGGCCAGTTAGTGGTCAGCGAACGACGACTGAGAATTCAGACGGCGACGCAGGTGGGAAGGACAGGTGAAAAGAATACGAGGGCAACCTCGTAAGAGGAGGCCGCGGATCAACTGAACAAGGCGGAGCAGCAAGGAACGGAGGACGCGGACGAGGACAAACGCGAGCACGAGCCGAAGTAGAGGACGACAGGCGAAGAGGAGACAGACGGCGAGGACGACAATAACGATGCAGAGGTGGTGGCAGGAAGGCGGCAGTGGGGAACACATCGAGAACATGGGGGAGGGGAGCAAAGCGAACAAGTGGTTGAGTGGCAAGAACAAACAACGTGATGCGTGCGCTGTGTGACTTGTGCATGCACGCGTCGTGGTGCGTAGGCCGAATGTTATGGGTTGCGCTGATCCGGTCGGCTTGGCGTACCCAGCGGGTAACTTTCTGGTGCTTTGTGCGCGCGTGTATTGCTTCAGATCTGTAAAAGAGCGCGCCATTGTAATGCATGTGGTGAGTGGACGGGCCCTTGTGACTCCGAAATCGAAGCACATCCCCGATGCTTGTGATCATGTGCCCCCTAGAATCACGCGAGCGTCAGTGTGGGAACGGCAATGTGTTGCAGCGTTCTCTTACGCAAATGAGTATTTGGTCATGAGATCTCGGAATACTAAAAGTTACCGGTTCTGGTTCCGAGAAGGATGGGGTGTGGGGATTACCAATCGATGGCGGTCCTTGTCCATGCTTCAACTCGGGTGCTACTCATATGTTGTGAGGGCGGGTGGGAAGGAGCGAGCCGGCTTGTTGCTTGTGGGTAGCTTGACCCCTCCCACTACACACCCACCCTGGGTCTGGACGAGGGGCCCCGCGACCCAGTGGAGCGCCCAAGATAGCACAAGATGGCTCCAAAAGGCCCTCAAAGAGCCTAGGATTACCTCCAAGGTGGCTCAAAATTGCTTGAAGATGGCGCACGATGGATTCCAAGATGCTCGAAGAGGCTGCAACACCGCCCCAAGACGTCTCCAGGTGGCCTCGGAGCACCCCGAAGAGAGCACCCAAGAGGCCCACATCCTTCCAAAACTCAAGGAATATCAATGTGTGTTGCCTTCTCGCCTTTTCGCTTCATATGGCTTCCCGATGCCTCCGGATGGCCCCAAGATGGCCCAAGAGAGCCCCAAGAGCGGCCCAAGCGGCCTGCAAGACGGTCATAAGAGTGCCCAAGAGCGGCCCACGAGCGCCACAAGAGGGCGCCACAAGAGGCGACTCTTGGGGCTCAAGAGGGTCGATACGAATTGGACATCCACCCCTCTTGATCAAGAAAAACATTGAAAATCATTTGGGTTGTGAAGGATTTTGGATTTGCTGGGGCATCTGTGGGAGGCGCTTGGCCCAAGAAGGCGCTGAGAGGGCCCGAGATGTTTGAAGATGCCTTCCAAAATGACGCAAGATGGTCCAAGCTGGCCCACGATGGCCTCCAATCTGCTCCCAAGAGACACACTGATGGCCCCGAGACGGCTCCAAGTGGCCTCGGACCACCGCCAAGAAGGCACCCAAGAAGCCAACATGGTTCCAACACCTCGGAGACACCATTTCACGCCTTTTCGTTTCCAATGGCCATCCGAGGCCTCAAGGTGGCTCCAAGATGCCCACGAATACCCCAAGAGGAGCCCAAGAGGGTCCCAGTACGGCCCCAAGAGCGCCCCAAGAGGCGATGGTGGGGGCTCTAGAGGGGCGACGCTTACTCAATCTGGGACTCCCCCTTCGTTGATCGACGTCCTCCAAGATAGCCCCCGAGGCTCCCAAGATAGACTTCAAGAAAACCCCAAGAGAGCCTCAACGTTTCCCCAAATGGCTCCAAGACAGCCCAAAGAGAAACCAAGAGCGCCCTAAGAGCGCCGCCAACAGGGCTCAAAGAGGAAGCGTTCCGCGCCCAAGAGAGGCAATCCTACTCCACGCCACTCGTCTCCTCCTCCTCATCCTCCGCTCCCTCTTCCTTCTCCTCTTCCCCCTCAGCCCGCCTCATCCGAGTCACCCGCTATTTCTCCGGGTTCTGGTTAACCTGGTTTGAAACTTCGATTTGACCGACTTCCCCGGCTGTCTGCTTCACTGCATGCTCCCCAACTTCCCTGATCAACAACATTTGTCTGGGCATATCTTTTGTGGGACAAACTAAAGGGGGGATACGCAAAGCGTACCCATCGAATACGCCGAATCGATCGTTCCCGTTCTCGTTACCAGCATTCTCGCCCTTGCCCCCCGTGACAGGAAAGCGTAGTGGAACAAACAACATCCTGCCACCACTGCGTGCTACTGGCAGCTGGCCCAAAAGAGTCCGAGCCAGCGAAGGTCTCCGTTTCCAGCGGAAGAGGTTGGAGGCGAAGGAGCAGGGAAAGACAGATGAGGACGACGATCTAGGAGGAGGAGCTCCAGAACGTCCTCACATTCCACAAGTGGCCCCCCACGCGCGCACACACTTTCTGCATTCGGGGATACCCCTCGTCTCGGCTGGACGCAACTTGATCAAGTGGCCAAGATGGCTCCCGGGGAGAGTACGGGGACCGATCTTGTATGGGCCCTGGTCGGAGGACGACCAGCGCGAGAATCCAACCCCAAGTCCTGCCACCAACTCCACACGCCGTAGTCCCATGTCCCCGTGTAGGAAGGCACCCAGGGTGGCGGGGTCCGGCATGCAAGATAAGATATGGGGCGGGTGGAACACCTCCAACCTACACCGCTACTCGTCACTTGTTTCCCCAGGGCAGGGC